TTTCCTATCCAACCAACAAGGCTGCAGTTCCCAATGGTATCCCCAGGGTTTTGAGTCTGAGGGCATTTTTTCACAAGGCCCAGCGTCAGTCATGAACATTGGCATATGCAAGAGGTCATCCTGCCAGACAAACCAGCTTAATGAACAACTCTTTGGGATTACCTTTCCCATTCTCTTAGACAGGTTGGCCCAAACTGTTAATTTTATCCATTAACATGAGCTCAATGCATGCATGCTGACATGCATGAGGACATGATCTGTACAGGCTTCGATCTTTACAGCGGCCACCAGCGGCCACTGCCGCAATGCCCGTGAATTGCCATGATGCCCTTTAAAAATAACATGTACCTTTTGGTCACTTGGCCGACGTGTCCCTTTTCAATGATCACTAGGCACCTACATGTATTTTAAAGTTGTATTCAACTTTCAAGTTACCATTTAGCGCTAGTGTTTCTGCCAGCCGCTGGCACCGAGCACTATTTTTTTTCATGGACTGGTTTTGCATCGCCTTGTAGACAACATGGTATAGCAACCGGATCAACGTAGTTGAGTTATGTGATTCTGAAAAGGGGGACCAGACTACTTTATACACGGACCACAGAATTACAAATTCTGCACCAATCGGATTCTGTACATTGCGTAATTGAGACTGAGTCACTATTGTTTTGGGATTGTGGATGGGAGTACGACCCAGTCTATTTTTCTTCGCTATTTTACTGTACTGGTATGTATTTATGCGGGCGCCAGCGGGGTTCTATTGGATAAATGTTTGTGACTCAGTGACCGACTTGCTTGAATTGCATTGTTTGTGAGTAATTGCATTAACTTTTGTAATACAGTGTTGCCTTTATGGCATCATGAAAAGTAATAAGACACAACACCAAATGGTAAATTAAAAGTTAATACAGTATTATTTATTTTTATTTCTACAATTGAAGCAGACTGCTCAGCATGTGAACAGAAACAAGGAAAATTGCAGGTTGCAAGTTAAACACCATGCATGTTGAAATTGAAGGAAAGTCTATTAAAGTCACCGACAAGCATTATAAGTAAAAATTTCAAAATGGCCTTGATGCCCTTTCAGTTGGCGTTGGTGGCCTTTGGTTTTTGGGAGCATTCAAGGCCAAGTGGCCTTGACCCTCTGAAGCTTAAGGTTGAAGCCTGTCCATAAATGACAATAACAATAAAAACCCTTGTCAGTAAAATGAATACACCTATGAAGTAAAACTTCATAGGTGTATTCATGTCTTAACAGCAGAGTGTGATATTATGGTTGGACATCAGAATTTTCTGGGCACTTTTTGTGTTTGTCCGAACAAAATCAAAGATGCTTGGGCAAATTGTCCAGCCAACATATCAATAACAACTCTTAAAATATCAACACAATATGTGGGATTATGGTGTCCGATTTATTATTAGTTTTGTGTAAGAATTACGTTAAATAAGCCCAAGGCATTCATCGGGGCTGATCGCTCATCACCAGTCCATGTCACCCAGTGCCACGTGTGTATGAACACACATGTGTATACTTTACTTGCACAGACATGAAATTTCCCCATAATTGTTTGGGCATTGCATAGGTCATGATGTCAACCAATGTTCATTTTTCCATTGTAGCCCATGCATGACACATAACCTGGGTACCAGGCAATATGGACCAGTAGTGGTTGGCTGCATCTGTGCCGTTCCTCCGGTTCAACCCAAGTGTGGTGCGCACACATTATATTTCTGTATGTGCGATGGGATTATACCCTCATTGACCTGCAGGTCTTACTCCTGCTGAACACGAGTAGCTTGCTTGCACGTAGCCCTTAGTCACGGCTCAAACTTGCTCCAAGTTAGACTGTTTCCCGATCTCCATAGGCTGAACAAAAATAATAATGGGGTTGGGAACCCCATCCCTACCTTCTATATAATGTGGCAGATCAAAAGCTGGTAATGGCAGAATAAAATTTATTGTGTTATGACATATTGTACAAGCACCTTTTTGGTCTAATTTTGTGCTCTATAACAGCCATGCCAAGTTTAAAAAATGATCAAACATGGAACAGCCTGGATTTTGGGAGGGGGCTGATTTGGCTGGGCTTTTTTTGGGTCAAGTTATGTCCCACATCCTTGCAACCAGTTCTGTCCACGTCTTGTGTAAATTTTTTTGTTCTTGCTTGCTTAGAACAGCCATGATATGTCATTGTTACCTTCTCATGAATTGTCCTCCCTTTTCCTCTCAGGCGTTTCAAGCCCGCTTTGCATCTCCTGGCAGCTATCGACGCCTTTATCAACCAGGCACAGAGGATCATGGCATTCCCTGGGTACCCCCCTCACAGTATGCCAGCCCTGCCCGTAGAACGCAGTCTTTCCCCAAGTTGCCCAGCATTCAGGAAGAACATGAGCCGACAAGCCTGTCACTGCCGGTAACAGCATGAACCTTACCAAACTCTTTTATCGAGTGGTGACAGTTGACCGAATATTATAAGTCATTTGATGGTAAGAATTCATCAATTGCTACTGTACCAAAAAATCTTTTGATAGGGATAATGCTTCCCAAACCAATAGAAAACTCATATTTGAACAAGAGACATCTACCTACGCTAATGTTCTGGCCAGAACCTGTTATCATTGTATCGATATTAATTGGGGTGCTTCCTGAAGAGCCTTTTTCATTTATACTAATTTTGTAGCAGTTGGCTTAGTTTATAATTTGCCCAAATGCCTTCATTGTATTTTTGAGAGTTGCGTGCCGTACTAGGCCTTAATAATTATGTGATCAACAAAACTAATCGGAGCATTTATTGCAAGAGTTGCAGTAGTTGGTTGTGAGGGGGAAATGTACTATACTGAAGGCCTTTTTATAAGTCATTGTGTACAAACTTGGATTATCAGAGCTAGTATTGCCAGAACTTGAGTGTCTCAAGTGTACTAAGTGTTCAGTTAATTTGGATTTTTCCCTGCCCGATGTGTATTATACCCCTGTATGCTCAGTTTTTGCCCCCGAAGGTTTGTGAAAAACTACAAGCATACTCAGGTGGGACTCGAACCCATGACTTCCTGCTTACTAGTGCAGACATCTTAACCACTCAACCACAGAGCTTGCCAATGTTGGCTGGCTGGTTCGAGTCAGATGTAGCAGCGGGTATCGTAGTGTTCAGCTCACACAGCCAGTAAATCCTTGCTTCCATGAAGAGGACAAGTTATCTGATCGCTGTAACATCATGTCCATGTAGTCAATCTAACAGCACATACAAATACTATATGTCGCTCAAGCCAGTCAGTGTACCTGTGTCAGAAGAACCAGTAAAGTAAGATAGATGTCAGCCCCTTGCAAGACCCAGTATCGATTGCTCTGAGAAATGATACTGCTGCATCACAAACAGGGATAGATATGTCCTCCTAAAGTAGCCAGGTTTCAGGCTTTCTTTAAATTTTGGATAACATTTCTTGTATAGCTGAACTTCAGGCAAAAAGTCAGCCCCTGCCAACATCCATGCACAAACGTGAATGGCAATATTGTTTTCTTAGGTAGTCTCTTACATTCCATGTTGGGCTTTTGTTTTCTTTGGGGGCAGTCAATCATCCCAAAATAAAGTGTTACTGCAAAAGGCATTTTTTTTAATATGTAAAAGCAAGGTCCTCTCACCTTCGATCCAAAGATTCTGGAAAGACAAACAGCATTTTGTTGCTTGTCTCTGACAAAAATCTGTTTTTGAATTATGTGCAAGTCTTATATGTTCTTACACAAAAAAAGCTGTTGGGGCAGGTTTTTTTACCCCCCAAGTTCTTCAACCTTGCAATCGTGCTTTGACCCAACCAAGCATGACGCATTAATACATCAACCGCAGAAATGAAAAACAGTTCTTAAATGAGAGTATATGTCTTGTGTGGAATAAATACAGAAAAGTATGTGTGTGTGTACACGTCATACAGAGTCAAGTGGTTATAACTGTTACCATTTTTGAACAAAACATGAACTAAAAAAGGTCAGCAACTATTAATGAGCTGCACTATGCAAGTTACTTGTCAGTGTTCTCAGCATGAAAAAGATCATGGACCACATATACGTATGAATTTCAGTTCAGTAGTGTTTGGAGTAATACTACAAGTAATCAGACTTTGTCTTTTTTCTGACATCACAAACTCTGTGAAGTTGGCCCGGTTCATTGCCAGTGGAACATTTAGAACCCTACATTAAGTACAGTTTACAGCTAACTTTCAAATATTCAGAGGCATTTTTAGGTCACAAATGTATGTATTCTATTTGTGTTCTCAGCATGGGACCAGCAGCCAATTTCACGAAACGTGACATACTCTTGAACCATGCATAAGCCTTGCCCCATAAATTTATGCTGTAGGTGTGCAGTAAATTTACGTTTCATTTCACAAAAAGATGCACCATGTTTTAATAATATTAAATTTCTTGGACAAGGATGATAACAGCTTTTGTGATGGCTGTTTCTTTCAAATACCACAACAGTCATCAAACAGCCGTTGAATAACCTCCACCCCTCATTTTGAAAAATTTTCATCTTTGATGGAACCGAAGAGAAATTCTCGCAGTTCCCTCACAGCCAAGCAAGTTTTTCACTACCTTCTAAAAACAAAGTTGAATGTTTCTCATATTTAGCTTTAAGATCAGCAATGGTGAGGTTGAACCAAACATGATGAGTAAGTCAAATTGTTATTTTCACTTTGTTTGGTGCAACCAAAATAAATTTTTGGCATAAGTCACAGAGTTACGGCGTAAGTTTCGTGAAATCGCTCTTCATTTGTTGTGCAACTTATGCAATCAAATGTGGTGTAAGTTGAGTTACACCATTGCATAAAATTTCTTGAAAGCGGCTGCTGATCTAGAGCCATTTTGTATGTATGTACTTTTGAATTTGAGTGTGATGATATTGATTTGTTCTCGATTGGATATACCATCATATTGTATAAATAGAGGGTGAGCATGCCAGCTGAGAACTTTTAAAAATATTTTTCGTTTGTAAATCCTGAGTAAGTTTAGGAAAACCACTACGTTTTGTACATCCATGAGGATTGAAAATATTGAAAAATATGTTAATAATCATAAACATTAAATCTCTTTGCCTGTACAGTATTTAAAATATTATAAACTTCTTTTATTCTTGAGAAATTGATTCAAGTTCAACTAAATGAGTACTTTTATATGAAAAAAGGACAATTGAGTACATATATGCAGAAAATATTGCCACCAAGTAATGTACTGAATTGCCAACAAGAGCACAGGAAAGGTGATCATTGCGTTGCCATTTCTGGAAAGATCCCCATGTTCAGTGCTTTTAACTTGGGCTTAATTTCAAAGAACTGCATAATTAATGGCTAATTATGAAGTAACATGTTCTCCATCCACTTGACAGAAAATTTAAAGCAATCAGCACAGTACAAACATGCCTAAAACCCAGACAATCAGAGCGAAAAAGTTGCCGAAATCAAGGACGTTGCAAGAGAATCTTCATGCTTGGACAACTATTAGCATATCCATGCCATGAAAGAGTGAGCAGCATCATTTGCTGCTGTAGTAAGTTCAACTTCCATGCTGTTAGGCAACACTATGAAATTGACTTGTGAGACAGTGACAGCAGAAACAGAGCAAACAACAAAAAGCTAACAATTAAAGTTTTGAGTTCCATATTTTATAATCAAGTTCCACTTAATAGAGAAAGTTGCTTACGTTTAGCACCTGTTTCTATTACAGTCTCGCACACTTTGGTTGAGACTCACAAAGATATGCACAATGGAGACTGCTTGTTTAGTCTGCCTTATTTTGACCATAACTTGGATATAGCTGGCTGGCATTTTGCAGTGAAATGGAGGTACATATGAATAAGACCTTACTGGGAAAATACAAAAAAGGATGAGAAAGCCTTGTTGCTAAAAGGACCCCAAGGATGACTGCTTGCTTAAATGACAGAGTACAATTTGTACCCTTCCCCTCCCTCCCAAAAATCTTCCAATCGACTTCCACTGGTCACATGTGAGTCCAGTGGTAAATCCCAGCTTTCATTTGAAAGGGAATAGCTGAGGGAAAGCCAGCCAACACAGGCATTGACTGAAGGCAATGGACTTGAGATGTACAATGTAGTATGATGTCATTTTAGGAAAGAAAACTTGCAGTTGGTTCCAGTTTTTATGCAAGCATGTAGCATTTGCTGAACTATAACAGGTGGGACAGTAGCCTCTGTCATCCTCAACTTGAAACTTCCCTGAGAGTCAATGTTCAATGTGTTCATTATCAAAGCAAGTTACTGTCAGTTGTGAAAATTGCAGAGATGATCAAGAAGATGTATCAAATGGAATACTTTTTGCGACATGCATGTTGACAAATTGCTTATGTATAGAGTAAATTGTCCATATCTGTTGGGTCACCTACACATATGCTATTCAGATGGTTATTTTTCAAAATTCCAAGGATTAAGCATTACTGTTGAGTCGCAGAAAATTAATTAGCTCTTCTAACTTCTTTATATGTATGTTTAAGTACTGCACTTTGTTATATTTGGATTAGATATATTTTTACTTTTTTTGTAAATATACTGTGGGAACTCAGGCAGCTTGTTTTAAAAAAGGTTTCAGAAAACCAATTTATGAAAATAGTTATGAAGAAATGTATATATAAATAAAGCTTAATAGTAATATGTGGCAAAAGTGAATTGTGTCTTGCCCCAAACCCATTCGTTGAAAACATGCTTGGTGATTTTCAGGTAGTTGCAATTTTACTGCTTGAGTTAGTACATGATAAAATAATTAAAACCTTGCACTTTTGGTTTGTTGAAGCAAAATTTTGCATTATTTTTAACCACTGTAGTACAGAGGTGTCGCAAGCCCGTTTAAATCATGTGTACATTCAAAAAGTTGTTTTTTTAAATCAGTTTTATATTAAGGTAATTATTTCATTTATACTCATTCATAAATTATGATTATTTCAAAATTAATCGTTGTGGTCTAATAAATTGGAGATCACACGAGTCCTATTTTATTTTGATTTCTTTATTTTATTTTGAATTTCTCCCAAGATCGCCAAATTCACTCATATTAGGGCACATTGATACATTCATGGGCAACAGCTTTTTAACAGGCCATACTGAATGTATTGCATAGGTTATGTCAATGTTGATAGAACCAACATGTATTTGCCATTAGGCTTATAATACAGAGGCAAATCCAATCCATTCAAACAAAACCAAAACGCATCTGATGCAGTCATTGTTGTGCTGTGTAAATGTTTAATGCTGCACTGTGCAAAAACTTGGATTTAGTGTATGAGGCTAGAATTGATGGCAAGTCGTTACATCGTCATATTTCGTCTGTGAACTTCAGTCGAAATTTTAAGATAAGTAATTGTGAGTAACATGATCATCCGAGACAAGGACCAACACGTTGCAACGTACATGTACGTGTACGTCCCGCCGGCCGCGTACGTGAAGGTAGAAATACATTTTTAACGTATAGATTACAGCTGGCAACCAATCAGTAATCTTTTTTTGGGTAGGCCGTGTCCGAATTACTTGGCTACGTCCGTAAATTAAACGCAACTCTATGGGAACTGGCCACAGCCACTACCATAGACTCGTGTGTAATTTTAAGCAGCAGCCAAGTGATTCGGACACGGCCAATTACACTTCTTTTTTCCAAAGATGTACTTTGCGTCGGGGATACAGGTTTTGCCTATTACACCAGCATACTGCATTATGCATAACACTTTGAGCTCACTTTTGTCCAAAAGCTGGCGAAAAAATTCACCAGGTAATAATGAGCACCATCCCATAGTGCAGACGTCTTAACCACTCCGCCACCTAGGTTCTGGCCTCAGCTTGCCTGTCGAGCATGCATGGAGGAACTAGCAGCGCAGACTACGTGAATTTAAAAAGAAATTCGACTTTTTTTCCCAAGCTCTCTGACAAACAAGCAGAATACAGTGTTGCTTTATTCATGTCGTCATGGTAAAGGCAAAAGCTGTTAAAGAGCCTGAAAGTAAAAGGTCACGCAGCGAGCTTCCGGAACTCCTGCGCGGTCCGCCCAATGGGGATTTTACATTAGGCCGTCCTTTCACGTTCAATAATTTTTTGAAGAATTATTCCTAACTGAAACAACCCCATGAAACACTCGTGTCGGAATTTTACCTTTGTCTTCCTCTACTAATATTCAGGAAAAGTGACCTGGTGATGGGTAAAAACCGAATTTCATCAACGACCTTTTACGTCCTGCGATATCGTACCAAGGTCTCCTTGCCCATGCACGTTTGTTTTTACTCCCCGTGAAAATGACATCGGAAAACGTTGCAAAGATTTACCTACCTCCATGTTTCCGTTGCTTTGACATAACGCTGGTGTTGTCAGCAAAGGTTAAATAAAATATTAAAATCCTTTGTAAAAGTATATTATTGCTTTAAACGTATTACTTATAAATCCAAATAATAAGTGAAATATTTTTATCTGTTTTTATTTCGGCTTTTACCAACAGACTACCATAAAATTTCAAACCGTAAATGTTCATCTGCGTACGAGACTGCCGTATTGAACTGTTCTTCATGTTTTTAGATTTTCGGAAGTGATGGGTCAATTTTTGGCAGGATATTTCTGTTTTAGGTCAGGTATTTTTTGAGTTTCTCTGAATCGATATTCTAGCAAATATTTTCCAAAGCTCTTCCAAGTTGTCACTGAACGAAATTTTTTTACAAATTCTAAGATCTTTGCACGTTATTTTGCCTGTTTAAGTGTTCTGGAAGCGTGCCATCAGGGGCCAACTTTCTGGCTCTATTATTAAAAGAGGGCACACTTAGTATGCCATGGTGTGGGCCTTGATTGGAGTTTCTCCAGCGAAAGTTATTTTCTGACCATCAGTTAAAGACAAAATAGCACATCTGATGTAGTTGGGTAATATTATTTTAGGCCTTGTAGCCTACCTCCACGTTAAAAATAAAAGCCTGTCTTACGAATAAATCCAAAAATATTCACTTTTAAAAAGCTTTAAAAGATGATTAGTAGGCCTATAGAAAATTAACAGGACTAGTTTCTTTACAGACTAAACACATTGCTTTTCGCGTGAAGAAATTAAAGGAATTGTAGGTTTTTTGTGGGGGCGGCAAGAAGCGGAAGTCAGGAGGAACAATCCTGGCATACCTGCAGATTTTTTTATGTAGGTACTGAGCATGTACAATACATGCAGGTAGCACATTTGCTGCATAAAAATCTGCCGAGTCACCCAAGCCCTACTGCAAAGGTTGGTGTCAAGTTCGATCTTTGGTCAAAAAAGGCGAGTTAAACTGCCAGCTGCGAAGTGTCTTTCTGTAAGATTACAACGGACAACGATAGAAAAATACTCTTTTCAGGTTACATGCAGTGGCTTATTGACGTCTTGGGGCCCAGGGGGGGGGGAATGGATTTTCCCCCACTATGACTTTCCCATTTGTCACCCGTAAAAGAATCTTCACCCCTTCCCACCTCTAGTCATAAATAGAGTTGTGGTTGTACCGTTCCTAACATTCTGCTGCTTTTAAAAACATGAGGAAAAATCAGCAGCACTGTCTCCTGCCCCCAGATATGCCGCAGGTTACATGGTTTCATTATCGCTGCATCCCATTGGCTTGCAACACATGGCAACCATTCTGATAATTTTACGATGAAAGTGCGAGTTACGGAGAATTTGGCGATATCAAGTGAAATTATTGCCTGGCTTTGAAAAGAGGAAAATGTACGAGGCGGGTAGGCGATAGGCCGCGTGGGGCGACACCCCCCCCCCCCCCGAGTTACCTTTTTCTGACGGAAAATCTTATTTCTGGTGATGTGTTTAAAATGTCCGTGAGTTGGGGCTGTTGTGGTGTACCGTCGGGAAAAAGATGATGCAATGACGATCGATGGGCCGGCTGGGGCACACCGTCCGTTTATTGCATCATCTCCATATGGGCATTGGGAAACGTTCACATTTAATACATTCACTATTCATGGCTCGATCATCGTGTGAGGCGAGTTTGTCGTGGCAACAGAAACCTCCAGCTTAGTGTTTTCTGCTATTTGTATTGTGAAACTGGGATCAAATAGTGTTGCCGTGCATGTGACGCATGGTCAAGTTCCTTTCTGGGAAGTTTTGAGCATTTAGTTAATGATAAACTTTGATTGGATCTGGTTCATCACAATTATCTGTAAAAATGTTTTAATTATAGTCAATGTGACAAGTCAAATTTCAACAACCACTTCCTATTATTCACTGTTCAATTTCTTGCTTAGCTTGAATGAATCAGCTATCTTTTGTATGTAGATTGCCCTGTGAGTGTTGACATAATTGTGGCAGTGACGTCAACGCCCACAAATCGGGAGTGGTGATTGGTCAATGAGAGACACACCTCCAAATCGTCGGTGCGGATCCGGGCCAGCTGTGCAGCTGCAAAAATACTGGTACCCGATGATGGTCACACCAGCTAAGCGCAATAGTTTTGTATGTGCATCCGGCTGGCTTTCTTTGACGAATCTCTGCAAGGAAGCGTAGCGTAGGCTATTGAACTGACGGTAGCACGCATATAACCTTGTTGTCACCGAAGGCCTGCTGGAGTCATCTTCCAAGTCACAAATAACGGCTTAAATTGGCTTTTTACCGCCGGTATCCTGCAGTCATCACTCCCCAACATACAGACGTAAGTAATAATATTTGTAGGCTCCCTTTACATGCTTTATGTTGTCACGTTTTTGCAGTACAGAGGTCAGTCTACCAAGCTAACGTGGGTTAATTGATTTTTGTCTCGAATTGCCGTTCCATTTTATAGTTTCCTGTCTTTTCTGTCAATTCTGTCTCTGCACTGTACTAGCCTAGCGCCTGTACCACGTGAGATACATATACGAGACATTTCTGAAAGAGTTCCATACACGAACAGCAACCATCAGCGTGAACAGAAACATGGAAAGGAGTAATTGCAGAATACCCCACCACTCTAAAAAACGAATCCTGATAATGGTGGTAAACATGGTAAATGATATCTCTGAAAAAGTTCCATACACAGACATCAACCGAGACTCTGTGCGCAAGCCCTTATGTGAAACTGGTCTGAAGAATTAGAGGTCTGCTTTAACTTGGATTTCCCAGCTAAATTTGAATGTAGGACATGTAGGACATGGTGACTTCCATCGCTGCGCCCATAAAGCGATCTGATCTTAGCCTGATTTACTTGAGATCGAACCCATTTTTCTTCCTGCCCTGGGACCAAGTTGACATGGGACTGATTTAACTTGGACCGAGTTGACTTGAAAGGGTTTTGCCCAGTCATGTTTACTGGTGGCAGAAGTGGCCAGTGGCCCCCCACTGTGTCAACTGAAGGGGAGATGCCCCCCACTTTTCACGGGGTGCAGCTTAATGGATTGGCCTATTAACCCTGACAGTCCCAAATCCTCCAATTTCAATACGATTTTACATACGCCCTTGGGGGGTTAGGTTAATGGCTGATGCCTGATGTTCCTCCAACTTCTACTGCCGCTGATCATGTCTCATGATCAAACGTTAGCAAAGAGGTTTTTTAAATACATGTAAACAATACTCAATGGTACCAGAGAGGTTTGCTGTACAGTGTACATGTGCCAGAATTACAGAGAATGACTTGTGTTTTACATTTAGGTGTTGTAAACTTAACACTTTTTTGGCATCTTTTTCGTCCATTTCTACAGGCCTTCAATTTCTGGTGACTTCTTCCTTTTATTTGTCCTAAAAGTCCTCAATCTTTCACAGATGAAGGATAGAGAATTTATTTTTAAAAATGAAGGTAGAAAATCACTTTACCTTTAGCTGTAGTTACTAAATGCCCTAGCCCATTGAGGGTTTATTTTACAACACGTTATTAAAGTACATGTATAGTACTTTAAGTATCTAAATGTGTCCATCATGAACTAGCATTGAACCCTGTTAAAGCATGCACTCTGTGTGAGTCGCTATTAACCACTTTGGACATACATGTACATGTATAATGTACGGATGCAAAATAGCC